CCACAAGAGTCAATGTGCATTGCACGTGTGTTGCGTGTTTTCATGTGGAGATTTGATAACTCAACAGAGATGAAGAGTTTTAGATTTAGTCGCTGTACAGAGCTGCTCCCATCAAGATTACATTAGCAAGATGTACAAAATTTTTTTACAAAAAAATGGTAGTGATGAATAAATCACAGTTCACACAGAAGTGACTTTAAAACAAAGCAGCATTCTGCTGGACTGGACAGCACAGCATTTTTGCGTGATCAACTTTAAACATTAATGAAATCTGCACTTTATCATTGGATTTTATCTGTAAAATGAAAACAGTAACAGGATAATGGATAAAGGCTTCAATAGGAATTCACCATGTTTACCAACAGAAAGATGCTTGGTTTGAAAGTGTCTTCTGTGTGAGCTGTGCTTCATACATCGTTACACTATTGGACCTTTTTGTCTCCAAAATGTCACTAATATGAACGCACCTTGAGAGTCACATGGTTGTCAAAGCCAAAGACTGAACATATCCACTGAGAGTGCTTCCCTACTTTAAAACCAAGTTTTTAGGCCTCTCTCCATAGCAATGCTTGTCCTCTCCATCAAGCAGATCCTGGAGGAACCAATTCTTCATGTTTAATGCACCTAAACAGGGGCAACTCTATTTATATCTATAATTCAGTGCAACCTCCACTTTAGTAGTTCTATTTTTTGGATCGTGGGACATGACCGTGGTGTCCGAGTCTCCTGTGTGCCCTGAAACACTGGGGGCCACAAACCTCACATAGTCCTCATTTGTTGGGTTATTTAAATATGTGTAAATGTAATCCCCCTACCCAAGGTTCGGTTTCAGGGAAAAAGAACATCTACGCAAGCACAAACAACTATAAGACACCACAGAGCATCTATATTTCACATCCTGAGCTTTGAAAGCTGATTTTTTTTTTATAAACATGCGCTTTCTTTCAAAGTGAGCACTTTTAAATCACAGAGATCACATTTCTGTAGGAAGACGAGCAACTTCAAATGCCAACGCACTGCAGAGGAAAGTGAGGAATATTTTAAAACCCATGGGGTTCCCTGTGCACAGATTTAAGCCATGTTCCCATCCAGCTGACTGAACTGATGGGTAGAATCTGACAGAGAGAGAGAAATGGAAAGAATGAAAGAATTCAAGGACATAGAGGTTTTGAGGACAGAATAAAAGACAGAATGAAAGCTACAGGTGGCGGAAGATAAAGCGGCCTTCAAATGAAAGACCACAGAGACTTGCATTAGGCTCGATACCGTTTCAAAATGTTACATAGTAAACAGATGACAAAATATTACTTATAACAACAGCAATGAATATAAGATGCTAAAACAAAACTCATTATGTCTCCTGAATATCTGGGCTAAAATAAAATAACTAAAGAGTCTTTATCCACAGGCAAATCCTATTTTTAGGTGGCAAATGACACTTTGGATTAGCGTCAACTTGTGGCATGTACTGCCCCCTGCTGACTGAAACAAACGGTACATAATACAAAACAAAAGTGTAACTGAGAATCGCAGGAGTCTATAGCGTTTTAAGACCAAGGACCCCTTCGTGGAGATGGAGCAGGAACATATTTTGTAAAACTCGGTGTTGTACAAATAGCACCATATTAAAGGGATAGCACACTTCAAAATTTAAATTCTGTCTTCACCCGCCCTCCTCCTGTTCCAAAAGAGTTTAAGTTTCTTGCTTCTTTTGAACACGTGTGAAGAATGTTGGTAACCAAACAGTTGATGGCCATAGCCATTGACTTCCATAGTATTCTTCAGACAGAGTATCATCATTCGTGCTCAACAGAAGAAAGAAACCCATTCAGGTTTAGAATAACTAATCAAAAAATAATTGGCAGGCCGCCTTTTGAAGACCATGGAATATGACGCAGGGGCCTTCAAAGTCACGTTACCAAAGACAACACAGGATCAGATGGGACTACAATCTGTTGACGGGGACAATATCCTGTTTTGTTCCTGAAAATACTCTGATACAGAAAAAAAGGAAGACTATGAAAATCTTTAACAATGGCCATATAATTCTGTCTCTATGGTAACCACGAACTACATTTAATAGCTCTCAGTAAATGAAACTGTAGAATGATGTAACATTTTATAGCATGAACTGCGCTGACACCAAGTGGCCAACTCGGATATTTTAGATGTCTGCACATCATGTCAGAATGCTAAAAAGGACACACAAAAAAAGACCTTTTCCTTTAGAATTCACTTTTTATTTCTAACGACATTACATAAATGGATAATCAAAAGCATTTCAATTAAACAGTTCATATTTTAACATCTACCACACTCTAAGAAAGGTCTGTAAACGTGTTAATATGAAAGAATTTTCCGCATTTCTTTTTTTCACAGGTGTTTTACCCGTATTTTAAATTATGCATTGTGTTTTAAGGTACACTGTGATGTTAACAAATAATGTCCTGGCAGAAATGACCATTTTTCGCTTTTTCTTTTCTTACAGTGCAGTACAAAACAAAACCTTTTGTTTAATATGTAAATACCATAGCTACTGTAATTACCAATACGCCTGCTCTCAGTATCCATGCTATTATGATCCAACATAAAATCGAACTGTTACTTACTCCATCTACACTACCGTTCAAAAGTCTGGGGTCAGCAAGGTTTTTTTTTTTTTTTATAAATGGAGATGTTTATCAAGAAAGGATGCATTAAATTGCAGGATGCATTAATCGATACTCTCAGTCTATAAAAGAAATTCCCAGAAGTGAAATAGCCCTTCGTGCAAATAACCTTATCACTGTATAATCTTAAATGCTACAGGTGCAGACTTTTCAGGGCTGGTTGTATTTGTAAAGCAATAAACACAAAACCATAGCCTACATTATTTAAAAATGAAAAACACATACCGTCTGGGGTGTCATACGAAATTATGCTAGTGAAAACTAGGTAAACCACTGTAGAATATGTGTAGAAAGAAGGAAACGGCTCACGTTTGGAATGGATCTGCTCACTGAGGGGAGACGTGCTGACAGGGTGATAGACAGCTTACACAGGCTGCTGCTAATAATGGAGAACTGACACTGACTCACTCTCGCCCATTCTGATGGACTCTCACCCAGTCAATGTTTAAAAAGTTGCTGGCTTTTGGTAACAACCCAAAGAGCACGGCCCTGGCTCACGTAGCACATTAGTGTACTGGTGTGGTGCTTTCTTTACATCGTCACTGTCTTTAAGGTATATTTTCTCATTCGTTAAACTAGAGGAAGTCAATGCCAGTTTCCTGGCTTGATCTATTTTGAAGCCATAGACCAGTTCAGTAAAGTTCTTCCAAAAAATGAAAATACTGCCAGCATTTACTCACCTCTATGATTTGCTTTTTTATGTAGATCAGAAAATAAGATTTTTTTTTGGATCATATAGTAACTTAATGGGGTCCAATGTTGTTTTGGACCCCACTGACTTTTATATCCTTTTGTGTTCCACATAAGAAAGAAAATCATCTTTTGACATGGCATGAAGGTTAATAAATGATAGAATTTCTATTTTTGGCTGAACTGTCCCTTTAAATGTCTGTTTTCATGCATCTGGCTCATTGTAAAATATCAGGTAGAGTTCATTCATTCATTACTGCGCATTGTTTCACATTAACTGATGAATACGCTTCATCAGTCACAGGATAAGATTATCCCTGCTGTTTAACCTTGCACAGCATCCCGCCGTGCAGCTAGTGAATTGTCGATGGAGTCGCTGTCAATCACAATCACTGTGTGAACGTAAACAGGAGTAACTGTCAAACAGAGATGGCAGAACAGTACTACAACTGACAATTTGTCCAAGGCTCTGCTGCAACTAAAAGACAACTAAAAGACTTGACTATACGAGAAAGAAAGTCTTTGATATCACTCGGCATGAACCCCGACATCAACATCCTGCCAGCTGATAAGGCCAGATGCAGCACGGTACAGCAACACCTCAGATTACCACAACACAACAAATTCACAAACCGGAGTTCTTGTTCTTACAGTTCCCAAAATATAAAGATTCAAAGCTTGACAGTATTAACTCAAAATACTGACAAAAGATCAGACATGATTAAATAGCAGTGTAAATGTACTAATACATCATGGGACGAATTGTAATTTCAGGGAACATCCCATTAGCTACAACTGATGAAGCCAGTCGAATGAGAGACAAAACATCTGCAAATGATGAGAACTGAAGCCCAGCTGATGAACAAATGAGCTCAACAGTAAAAATGATTTTCACATAATATCAGCCCTGTCACAATGTTGATCTGCGATTGCATTAAACACAATTGCAAAAGGTACCCTGTCAACAAATCAATTATGAAGTAATCGTTGACTGTAATAAAGCTATTTGCAAAATAAATTTTCCATTGTAAATACTGATCATGTCAACAGTAAACAAGCATCTCACAAAATGTTGAAAAACACAGAATATGGCAAAGCAAACTAAGATAAGGGACAAATATAGCCCAAGGTCAACTGATCTGCTAGATAAGGCGTTGCTCCATGTATGTAGGATTACTGGTTTTTCACAATTGTTCTGACTGTAATGCATACCATTGAAGAGAGGGCAGAAATAAAATAAAATCCACACTGAGACACCGATATAACAAACTGCTACTAAATACGACCGTAAGGAAATGCTGTATTTAACAATAAAAGTCTTTTTTTTATAACCTTTTGATAATCTTGCTTTGTAAGTACTAGGAATATGTCTGCAGGGTTAGTCACAGTTTATACGTCATTCCAATATAACTTTTTGGTACAAAAATTAAGACAATTACTAATCATTCGAAATTATGCTTATTATAGTACTGTCATGCAAAATGCATATCGCACGGCCTGTCATCAGTCCATACTGCTGTTCACAGGCAAAATGCATGTAGACCAAACTACATATTTGGTCAAAACTAAAATCTGTAGATCTGTACTGTGACAGACAGGTTTGCTTTAATTTGCAAATTTAGACATTTAGACACAACAGACATTGTGATTGGCCATAAACAATGATAAGCACTTACACATCTAATTCACATTTTCATGATGCTTCACAGAAATATTCTGTACCTTAGTAAACTGCATTAACATTTAATCTATCCTCACTCAGACCTGGACATGTGCAGGAGTTGTACACAAGAGTCCAATGAGACATATTAGGGTCCAACGGTCATATGTACAGTTAAACTGCAGTTTCTCTCTTAGGGGAAAAATGATCTAATCCAATATTCCCTTGCACCTGTTCTCCCCATCAGAAGCCACTCTTCTAGGTTTTTACATGCATCCAACTAGCTTTTTTGTTACTCAATATTTAGTGCATGTTATAAAAGAGCGAGAGACTGTTTGAGACTGTTAGGGCTCTGGAAAAAACATTTTAAACATTTTAACAGGTTGTGCATACATAAAATTTAACTAGTTTTGTTTTAAATCTAAAGTCATGAAATACAGGTCTGGCAAAAGTTTTACCAGGACAGGATGACATTGTCCAACTATGGGACTGAAGCCAGTCTTTTGCACCAGTGCTAAAATAGCCTTGTACACTTTCTTCAGAAACACAGTACCTTTTTTCTCTTTCTAAACACCTTGTGTTGAACATTGAGAAGTGCTGACTGAATAGGCCCGCAAAACAGTTAAGAATCTGCCTATTTTGACCCATCTGATTCATTGCATCAATACAGCATTTATGCCAAAGTGACTGAAATCTAACACATGGTTCCCAATGGCATACATAATGCTGTTTCAATACAGATCATAACGGTGGTCCTAACATATCAAGAGACCTTCTTTTACTGCATTCTGCTGGTGGTTCTACAAATGTGTTTGTATCTACTGAATGTTATACAAAAAAACATAAAAGTGATACCATAGCAGATTGTTCGGCCACTTTGACCGCAAAGCAGCAGAGCATCCAATGACGCTCTAAATTTCCCCCTTTTTTATTCCCACAGAGTAAGTGGCCACACATCCTCGTGTTGAAGATCAAAGCCTTGTCAGTACTTATTAATTCCAAAGAGACGGACCCCGTGGAACTGAGGCAGTTTGGGGATAAGCACAGTGAGCAGGGAAATGGTGTTGATGATGAAGAGGACCCTGTCATACTTTGTATAGAAACTGGTCAGGAAATACCTGTAGAGGGGAAGGACAAGGACAAGTCAGATGTCAGATAGCAACATGAAATGCACAGATGCAGAGGCTACAGAAGTTGCTCAAGCAAGCACAGCACAAGACTGCTTCTAATGGAAACACAGGATGTGGTTTCTTCATGCTGTAACAGAATGCTTTTCATACATATATCGAAAAAAACAATTATAATCAATAAAAATCAGATCAATATAAAAAGAGGTATATTTACTTTCTTAATGAACATTTCTAGTATGGTGCATGCTATTCTAAAGAAAAAACTGTTTATAATATAATATACTTATTTATTAAAATTCCCTACTTTTTACATCACTGCAGGCTATTTGATTATGCTATTACACAGCTCTATGGATAACTTGATTCTGATTGATCAGCCGCAACATTGTGTGTTATTCCCGATTAGCATCAGCAAATGCCATACCGCTCATATTTGAGGTATTTGAGGCTGGCGCTTCATTTACATCGCGGCACACTCTCTCATTCAAATGCAACTGTTATCATCTTGAACCTCAGTTATCGACTGCATTTACTGTCAAATGAAACCAGCGGACTTCTGTATTAATAGTAGGCCTACAGTAATATTGTTGAAGTGTTCTACTTGTTCCCAACGTTTTGAATGCTGTAATGGATTTAAAGGGGTCATATGCTGCTGCTAAAAAGAACATTATTTTGTATTTGGTGTAATGAAATGTGTTTATGCGGTTTAAGGTTCAAAAAACACATTATTTTCCACATTATTGTTTCTCCTCTATGCCACCTTTCTGAAACGCATTCATTTTTACAAAGCTCATCGGTGTAAAAGGCGAGGTGTGCTCCGATCAGGATTTTTGAGGCCGATCACCAATCGCCGATCACAGAAAGCAATATCTGCCGATACCGATCTTTTTAAAGCCTTCTTTTTATAATTTATAACTATTTATGGTGATACTCAGGATTTTTAGACATTTATTCAGGGCCTGAATTTCATTTTTGAAAATGGGGGGAATTCCCCTCTTAGGTGTCTCTTGTGAGAGGGGAAGCAGCTTTCACCCAAGAGTCCGCTACTGATCCGTGGCTGTTTACCACAAACACAACATTTATCCATTATTTTGATTTCAAATCCAAACATTGTCACTGAAAATGCTTTTTCACCATTGCAATTATTTTCATGTTTAAACAATAAATATAAGCAACACATTATTCAATGCATTTTAATTTTGCATTTACTTCTTGATTTAAATATTAAGTTGCTCAAGCAAGTGGCAAAACATTTAAATGACTTCTCTTACGTTATCACAAATTAACAGAAATAGTCAGCTCTATTGCCTTTCCTTTTGTATTTAAATCTTTATTTCAAGCAATCCTGTGGTTCATAAAGAACTTTGTTTTCCTACCTCCACGATCTATTATTGCCTTGTTTATCTAAAAGTGCTCTTTCCCTTTAAATCTAGCCAAAAAGCCATATGTGTTGACTGTGAAACACAGTAGACTTTAATCATATGCATTTATGGTGTAATTACTACATTTTCGTGTCAGTCCATGTGACACTGCCTCGATTGTGCAAGTGACGATTCCTGTGTCAACTGCAGCGTGCAGCTCGCTTAGACAGACGCGATGTGGTGATCTGAAGTCATTTGCATATTTTGAGAAAGAGAGAGTGCGCACGGTGATTCACTCATGCCATTTGTGAAATTACGTCTCACACAAGGTTTTCAAATTACTTTATAAGTTATTAAATGAAGAAATATTAGTACCTCACCTTCAGCATTATAATTATTTCACCCGCGCCGGTGTTCTGACGATTTGTGCTACCCGCTCAGATTGTGCTACCTCCCATTAAAAAGATTGGTAGCACAAATCGATAGCGAAAAATGCGACCCATCAGATTGTGCTACCTCCCATTAAAAAGATTGGTAGCACAAATCGATAGCGAAAAATGCGACCCATCAGATTGTGCTACCTCCCATTAAAAAGATTGGTAGCACAAATCGATAGCGAAAAATGCGACCCATCAGATTGTGCTACCTCCCATTAAAAAGATTGGTAGCACAAATCGATAGCGAAAAATGCGACCCATCAGATTGTGCTACCTCCCATTAAAAAGATTGGTAGCACAAATCGATAGCGAAAAATGCGACCCATCAGATTGTGCTACCTCCCATTAAAAAGATTGGTAGCACAAATCGATAGCGAAAAATGCGACCCATCAGATTGTGCTACCATCATCTTAATCATGTAGTTTGAGGCTTTTTAAAATGTCCATAACTACCCCTACCCGAAACCTACCCACCCATGTCTACCCTTACCCTAAACTTACCCTTAAAACAATGCAAATATATTTTTGGTAGCACAATCTGATAGGTAGCATGTTTCATCAGTACACGGACAGAGACTGAGACGCTGCCGCTGCATGTCGTGCCAAACCTCTCACGGCAGCGTCATCAGCTTGAGATCGGTTTTTGGAGATCGGCCTTTTTAGAGACCGCCGATCAATTATCCCAACGTGATTATCGGCCGATAGTGATCAATAGCCGATCAATTGGTGCACCCCTACCAAAAAGCAAATTATGCTCCCTTCGAACTGGTTTTCTTTAAAATACAAATCGTTGTAATCCCAGGCTATCTGTAATCAGAAGCACATTTATAACTGGAATATAATTTAATTTCATTCACATGTGTTTCATAAACACATAATCCTTTATGGATTACAATCCGCCATCAAAATGATACATTTAATAATTCTGGCTGCTGTGAGAAGAGGCTATAAACGATCCGCCACCTGCAGGATCCTCACATGCGATAGCCTAATAGCCGGAACAACTTCTTTATGTTTACAGACGTGACGTAATGACGCAGTGCCATGCTCGAATTTCTCGCGAAAACCTACCCAATACCACTCAAATTAGAAAACATTATTATAAGCTAACCGTTGTGAATCGGGTTAAAGTAAGGCGATAGTTTTAAACACTGGCTGGTTATGTACTTGCTCAAATATTGATTTCAGATCATTTTTAACCAAAAAAAATTACGGACTGCAGCTTTAAAGATCTAATAAAATATAACTCAATCAATATTTTGTGTCTAATTATTTACTTATGTGGCAAGTAGCCGTGTAATAAGCAGCATAATATACATCCAGCAAGTTGTTACTGCAAACTTAAGCAATAGTCAGATAGCTTTTTAGACACTCTTGTAGCAAATCTACATTATACAAATATTAGATGGAAAAACAAACTTGCCTTTGGCAACTAACTGAAATTGAAGTTGGAGTTTACTTAAAAAAAAATATTAAAGCTAAATAGAAAAAGAATAGAAAATATGGTAAAAGCGGCTAAAACTAAAATTAAAATGAAAACGAAAAAAGAATTAAAGCTAGTTTGAAATATCAATTAACACTATAATAGTATATAAATAATACTAAAATAACACTGCTACTATGTAATGCCCGCTTTTCACCATCCACTTCTCAAAGGATATAATCAACCCAGCTGAAAACAACATCTTAAACCTGATTTGCTGATCTCAGCTGCCCTCTCAGACTAGTTGTTTTAGAGGGGCTTGAAGTACTTTTCTGCTGCTAAACACCAGTTTGGCCAGGCTAGCAATCCAGCTAGACTATCTAAAACCAATTTACACAAGCTAAGAACAGCAAACCAGACTGGTTCTGGTTTTGTCAGCAGGGAAGACTCACTCACTTTTTTTTTTCTTGTCAAATATCTTTTAATTAAGATACATTAAGAACAGCGGTAAAATCAAGACAAACCTCCTTATTCCTCACTGTAACCAACAGATACACCCTCACAATATGAGAGAAGACACGAGAGAGAAGAAAAAGAGAAGAGCAAATGACCTGACTGACTGACTAACTGTTTCTAAATCCAGCTCTCCTTGCCAGCAGACACCACAGGAAATCAGCATCACTACCTCTTGCTCATGGTCATGCAGAGCAAGCTGTGAAAGCCTTCTCAGTGCGTGTGCAGAACACAACCAAAAGGGATAAATTAGCATGACATGCAGAACGAAGCTTCTAACAGCACAGAGCAAAAGCGAACACTCTTACAGTATAACAGGGGTGATGGTGAGAAACTTTCGAGAGGCGGTGAACTGGACCCCATAGTCCATCTGTTCCCAGTGGGTCAGAAGCCGGGCCTTGCCTTGGTCTGGAGTCTCAAACGGCGTTCCTTTTACCGTGTGTAGGAAGATATACATGCACTATGGCAGAAAGACAGTCACAGAACATCATGGCCTTTGGTACAATTCATCAAAGCTCTATCAGCAGATGGTGTGAGACTCTTAGGACAACAGCAAGAGCTGATCCATTTTGAGAGCAGGACGGCTAAGAAATGCGATACAGGATGGCTCTGTTAGTCCAACACTGGCTGAAATTACAAAACCTGGAGTCAGCAACAGAACGGGCCAAAATTCAGCAAGAAAAAATGTTGCCGTTTCAGAGTTTCTGCAGCTGGGGACTGTCACAAAACAAATTATTATTTTAAGCCTCTGCATCTTAAGAAGCTCTTAAGAAAGCATCTGTGCTACATTTACACTATGAAACTAACGCAATGGTTTTCTCTTGGCAGACTATTAACCAAAATGAGTTGCAGATTTGTTATGGGTTGTGACAACAGGAAATAACAATGCTACTGTTTATACTGTAGTTAAGGCCTGTTCACACCTGTCCATTTTAGCATTCACATCAATGCATGATAATGTTATATTTATTATTTAGTTATGTTGCCTGCAACTTCGAATGCTCAAGCTCTTAAAAGTCAAGTGGATTCTGACTAGCTGTCAATGTTTTTATCACTCAATGAAATGAACGTGATTCAAAATATATTGTTCCTGTCATTATCATTATAGCTTTGGACTTCTATTCTCACAGAATTAAAAAGTTTATTAAAACTTTATAGTTATCAGAGTCTACAGGCCTTTACAATAGTAAAAATATATAGCAATAACCAACTTGTAAACAGGAGGACAAATGCTTCACATATCTTTTATTGGATGTACACAGCAAAAAAATGTAGAAATTCAACGGTCACTTGGACACTTTCCTTATTAGATGGATGGTGAACTATAAACAAGCTACAAAAACGTTTTTAAAAAAAGATACAACACAGACTATATTAAACTATAATATAAAATAGTATTAAAAACCATACAGCTACAAAAGTATATACAAACTATACAAAAATAAGTTCACTTGCAGTGAGGACAAACACAGTTTGAGCACAATTTGTTCTGTATAATAAATTACTGTATTAAACCATGGACATTTACGGTAACACTTTACAATAAGGTTCCATTAGTTAATGTTAGTTAATGTATTAACTAACACGAATAAACAATGAACAATACAAAATGTATTAATCTTTGTTAATGTTAGTTAATGAAAATACAGTCGTTCATTGTTAGTTCATGGTAATTCACAGTGCATTAACTAATGTTAACAAGCACAACTTTTGATTTTAATAATGCATTAGTAAATTAGTAAATTAACATTAACTAAGATTAATAAATGCTGTAGAAGTATTGTTCATTCTTAGTTCATGTTAACTAAAGTAGTTAACTAATTAACCTTATTGTAAAGTGTTACCACATTTTCCAGTTCAGTCAATATGCCATGTTAATAATTTTGCATATTTTGGGCCTATGAAGTTCATATAAAATACATTTCAGAGCTTGATTTAAGGGTAATTTTGGTACCTTTTTTAATTATACACAATTTTGGTACCGTGTTGTTTTAGCAAAACAGCAACCTCTAACCTATGTTAATATTAAAGGGATAGTTCACCCAAAAATAACAATTCTGTCATCATTTACTCACCCTCATGTCGTTCCAAACCTGTATGAGTTGCTTTCTTATGTTGAACGCAAAAGAAGATATTTTGAAGATTGCTGGTAATCAAACAGTTGGTGGTTGCCATTGACTTTCATAGTATTTTTTTTCCCTACTAGGTTTGGAACGACATGAGGGTGAGTAAATGATGACAGAATTTTCATGTTTGGGTGAACTATCCCTTTAAGTTAGCAGTTAAACTTTCTAGCCTGATGTGATTTAGCAGCTCTCAGTTCTGGAGACCTTATGCAATGTAGCCTTGCCGTTTTTCGAAACTTGACACATCTGTTTGTTTCATCATGTTTGCTTTGAAACACTTTGTTCCTCTGCAAACAGATGGTGACAACACAGCAAGACTTCATCGTTTCACGTCATAATTTTTCAGAACTCACCTTTAGAAAGATGGAAATGTATTCATCTGTATAGCCACTGATTGGATGGATGGAGGATGCACGTGGAGGATGTCGCCCAATCGGCGTTCGATGCGTTGATAATTTCCTGAAAAGGCGCACGCCCCCTTAACGTCACAAAAAGCGCTATAGTGAAAGAGATTTGGCGATTATGCAAAAATACTGAGATTTATGGGTATGGTAGTTTTTTTAAATGAAATATTACCCATACTGTAGCGCTCTCAAATGTCTGATTCTGTAATAAGTTCAACTTTAACATAATTTTACAACAACACTGTATACTTTGTATTCCGTTATTAAAATTGCATAAAATGAAAAGTTAGGCAGAATTTTAGGAATTGAAAAGTTCACATTTCATAGTATGGGAATAATGCAATAACAGTGAAAGATGACAAATGCTGTCAGTCTCTAACATTCTTCCTGACTTCTCCTTGTGTGGTATGGATCATCTTGTTGATGAAATGGCAGGATTTATATTTTGCTGAACTGTCCCTTTAAATATCATAATATAATGCATTGCTCAACTATTTAAGATTAAAACGTGATATTGATCAATAGAGTGAAAAGGTATGTGATTAAACTATAATTTGTCATGTTTTACATTCAGAGGTAATTCATAAGTAGTAACTGATAGCTATGTAATCTGGATTAAGTAATCAGATTCCAAAAATTAAGCACTTGTAATTAGATTAAATTTAAAAAGATTTTAAAATACTCATAATCAGACTACAGTTACTTTTTTTATTGATTACATATTTACAAAAATAATTTCATTTTTAAGAAGTGTTTTCTTAACATTTCAACATTGCATTAGACTAGTGATGAACACATTCATTTTTATTTGAATTATCACTTAGTGGGTTAATTAACCATGCATTTCTATGTCTTTAAAAGGCCTTTGTCTTTCAAACACATTAAAATGCACAAATCCATGTTATTTCTTATTTTCATGTAATGCAGGAATTCCCAAAATTTTTTTGTCATCTGAATCTCTTCCACTTAATATGAAGTCCCCCTGAGATTTTAACACATAACACATTTTCATGTTCAAAGTTATCTCTCATTGTCAAATTACATGCTGGTAAACAATTAAAATATTTAATTTTTTAGTGGGCTAAGTGCTTTATTTTGATTGATATTTAAAATAGTATATTTTAATTTTACATTTTTATGATTGAATTCATTATTAGCTTTTTAACTGACAAACCCCTTGAAGTTCCTTCACAAACCCTACTTTGGAAAACCTTGACATGTAATGTTTAATGCACTTCATGTTGTTAATAACAATGAAAGAAATATATTTTCTTTTTCTTTGCATTTTTATATCAAAATACCCAGCTCTGTTAATAAATTACTTTTTATTCATTTCTAATGTGTACTGAAAAATTAATACCATGGGTGTTTCTGAGGTTATTTTTATTATAAATAAAATACTTTTTTTTATGAAGGTTAGATATGAAGGTCACCTTGGAAACCCACTTTCATAATTTATTTTTGAACTTTTTCTAGTTGTTTTTTCTAGTTGTCTTTCATGTAAAGAGTTTGTGCATTGTCTGATGATATTATCTAAACATTAAAAATCCAAAAAAGAGTGAAATTAATATAAACTTTAATACATCATATTACATACATATATGATGAATTATGTGAAAATGATTTATATAATTTTATTTATATAATTATAAGGCCAAAAGTGTCCATAGTTTCAGAAACACTTATTTATGGTAAGTCTAATAGTAGACTACTATGAAGATAATGTTATTCTGAAGCTATCTATAGATGTTACCACACCTCAGTCACCTAAAGTGACTGAGGATAAAAACTGAGGATGGTCTGCAGTCACACATAACCTAAAAGCATTTATATATATATATATATATATATATATATATATATGCATGTAGTCAGTTCACAGCTGCGTATGACCCTTCCATCTTACACGTTGCATAATGTAAACCTAATGCTCCAACAAATGCTATAAGGGCACTCATAGGCTGTAGGGCCACTAATAGGCTTTCTAAAAGACATTATTTAATCTCTGGGACAAAGATGTGTGAAATATCAGCTCTGCTACACAAACTCTGTCATTTTGCCCTGTAGGAACTGAAACGTGAGCCATGTGTCTGAATGACGTGGGAGCGTCTTCACTGATGATTAAACCGTAGCAAACGCACACAACTTCAAAGCGCTGTGGTCTTCCCTGTCTTGCTCTTACAATGCTCTTGGCAGGGAGCTACTACATTTTAAAAGCTGTTCAATTATATCTTGGAGCTCAGAACATGCTACTCTGATATTCTGTAACAATGCAACCCTTAGGCCCGAAGATTTATGTTTCCCAACGTGATTCCTTCAGCTGGATCCGAGCCTGTTGGAAGCAGGCTACCTTTAAAGACAATATTACATTTAGACTCCTATAGAATTGCAGCAGCATTGTGTCTTTCTGTTCCCCGAGGGACAAATGCTTGTGACATTAATTAACCTTTAAATGATGACTTTATGCAGAGTAAATCACTGGCAGCAGATGAGATCAAATTGCTATTATGTCAAGATAGGCTAAACTGTGGTTATTTTCATCAAATGACTGTTTTTGTTTTTTAAATGTACATATACTTTTAACAGATGCTGCCTTGAGGTTTTTGATGACTCTGATGAGTCTATGAAAATCATAAATTGTACAGAAGCATGAAGTTATTTAATTTTAAGAGCTTCCATAATTACTTCTGTTCATTTTACAGAAGACAACAGCTCAGGGAATTCATACGAGATTAGACAAGACGAAAGTTACGCTGACTGTTCATGTTCTTACACATGTAGGCCTATGCATATTTGCCCCAGAGGTTTTTAACTAGAATTTGGAACATTCCCTAGCTGCATACCTCAAATATTTAAAGTCAATCCCAACCTATTCCTGCTTTTAAAAACACGTTAGCATAGGCTACTGATTCCACTTTACCCAAATAAATGTAACAAGATATTGAGGTTTAAGGACCACAGCAGTCTCGACTCATTGTAATGTAATTATGTATGATAC